CTGCCCGGGCGGTCGATCTCATCCACGGGGATGCGCCAGATTCCCTGCAGAGAAAGGAACAGGGGAAAGTTCTAAAGAGGGATACAACTGAAAAGGACAGGAATCTTAAAATATGGGTCAGATTCTGCAGCACACTGAATTTCACTGAGGGTAAGGGGAATAATGGACAGACAAATGCTGTGGTTCTTCACACAAGGAGATTCAAAGGTAGCTGATTCCTGCTAGCAGCAGAAGAGGGAGGCTTGCAGGAGCACAGCACACCTTCTAAATATGCTTCTGAACTATTCCCAGAGAAAAGCAAGCAAAGCCTAAATTCTATCGTGCATTTTTCTTCAATGTCTGTGAACAGACACTTGGCTTCCTAAGCCAAAGCTCAACTACCTTAAAAAACTAGGAGTAACTTAAAAAAGTTTTCCTGGCCTGAAAGCTGCTTATGCTTGTGCAGCCACAGCAAGTTTCTATCTTCAAATAATCTATTACTAAATGTTTCAGGAATTCAGTTTGTGCTTCAGTATCATCAGTGTTCACCATGGCACTAACCAGCCTGATAGAAAGAATCAGATTCCTCAGCAGTATCCATTTTTCAGTGGCAGATTCAAATAGTTGTGCGTACATCCTGAGCCTTCTAACTAAATTTCTGGGACAAGGGAATCTTTGGGGAGCCGGGCAGTAGACTGAAAGAAAATATAATTTAATTACGGTTAATCAGCTCAGATTCTGCAATGTCCAGTAAGTCTAAGGAATCCTTTTTCAGGTGTTTTACATGGATGCTGTCAACACATTAGTCAAGCATATTTGAAAAAAATGCAATGCAATTACTACTGTGCTTGCATGTTAGTATGGAACTTACATTATGACATTTCAAAAAAACTGCTGTTACATCAGTGCAAACCCTCCCCTCATGTTTTATTCACTTCTGAAACTTTCCCTGTATAAGATTAATATCCTCTGGTCATATATACCATTTCGTGACAATGCAGGAGAGTCTCATTAACAGGAGTATCTGACAGAAACCAGTTCAGAGAGCAGGATACACAAATATTTACTCTTTTATCCTTGTTTAAAGGTCTTGCTTTGATATTTTTAGCTTTACTTTCAGTGTGAGCAAAATTCTTCAGAGCTTAATGCAAGGTGGAAGCAAAGACGATAATTACTGCAATCATAAATGACATTTTGCCACACAAGAAGCAGGTATGTAACTGGCCTGTCTACAACAGACCCTCCCCCTACACGTCTTCAGAGAACCTGCAGTTCTACACCATGGGATGTACAGGAACTTGGGAAAAACAACACACAAGTATCAGTTTTTTTCTCAATAGAAAACAATTACTTCAACCAGATATAATGCACACTGGTCTGCCAAATTTTCTTACTCTTGCCTTTCCTCATGCTCTCTACTCTTACTCCCTAGTGATCACAGAAAAAGCCATTTTTCCTCTTTAATCCCTGAAGTTTTCTTTCAATTTTTTTTATAGCTTCCCTTTCCCAGAAAGTACCTAAAACTGTACTATGACTGACTACTGAGGCACAACCATCGCTTCCTCCTATCCCCAACTACCCAAGTTCACAAGTACCTTTTGTACAAGCACCTTCTGTGGGTTGATGACAAAGATGTTATCTGCTAGTGCAGCTCAGTAGCTCTCAAGCCTGTACAGATCTTGTAGGCACCAGTTCTGTAAAACTGCATGTACTTTATTCAGATAGACCAGCTTTTTCTTCCCCCAAACTACACAATGACTTTCCTTTCAGGCTACAGTGGAAACACACATACACACATTTTGGAGCTGGTATTTTTTGCTTCTCTGCACAAACGTAAACTGGGTTTCTGCCAAATCCTAAAACAAGTGAATGCCTCATAATGGCAGCACACTGAACAACCTCTGTAGCCAATTTAACTATGCAAAACAATTTATGGTTAACTTATACGCATACTGTAGGAACAGTGGGCAGCCAGAGTAGGTTCCTGGTCTTTTTCAGCATTATCTCATCCTTCATTTGAATTATGCAAGCTCACTCAGCTTTCAGACACCATATCTGGACTCAGTTGCAAATAATTTCTCACAAGTCCTGTGTATACACTTTTAATGCTACCCCGGAAATTTCAACACTGTAGTAAAACCATTTGCAATGACAGAATATGCTAATTGCAGCCAGAAAGCCATGAAAGTGACAAAGTCCATCTGATGGAAACAAAAGTTGTGTATTCGAGGGAATGCTGCTCTTTTGTCTTTCTACAACAGAGCACATTGGAAGAGCTTAAATTGAAACGGGCACCAGAAGTGTCTAAGTTTACTTTACCGTTGCAATTACATAAGAAGGTCTGATTTTAAAAGGAATGTTACTAACTTTTCATGTGTTGACTTGCAGTTTTACCAATGCAAAACAGCAAGATCAAGATTACTGTCCTATTATATACCTGCCTGTTTCACAAGCAGCCTCAAGCCAAAAGCAGAAAGTTACCTGCCATCAGGAGTCAGAACAATTTTCATTCCAACCACTGCAATGTTATTAAGTAATATGCAAAAACATGTGCATTAAAGTGAGTTTATCAAAATATATTTCATGAGTGATGTTAAATCTTTTTAAGATTGTTTCTTTAGTCGCCGACTCAAATTGCAAGCAGTCTCATTCAAACCTCTCCCAAAGAGAAGCTTAGGCCCATGAGGAATGAATTTTTCCATTCCTAAGTATCAATAACCTTCAAAAAGAACACTTCTGAATTCAGATCATATACTGGAATATTTTTTTTAAAAGCCTAACGTTCAGCTTTTTAAACAATACTTATGAAAGATGCAAATGCAAAGCTTGTAATGAAATCACTAGGGAGGAGTCTGGAAAATGTTATTCAGTTTAGCTAAAACTGAAGTTTTCATATAATTAAAAATTCAATTTGTTAGCAAAGTACCTTCCTTGAAAATACACACACAGAGGAGTGCAGATCCTTGTGACAAACATTTGCAGTTCTTTGAAAGGTTTTGTTACTGATCATCACCACACAGGCCACTTGACAAAATGTCTCCAGCTCTGGCTACGGAAAGGATTTCACATCCAGCACTTCACTGCTGTTTGCTGGCCACCGTGACTGCAGCTGAAAAGTTCTCCTCCCTTCTGCAACAGCCAGAGAAGCTGTTTACATGAAACCAGAGGAAAGAGTAAGACACTTCCAACAACTCCAAAATGCCTCTCAAGATCCAAATCATCAATGCTCTCCATGCTTTCCTGGCTAAACAAACACTCTGTAAGAGCTGGGGCAGGGGAATCAAACCTGACAGGCACTTACAGAAAAAAAAATAAATATAGGAGTATCAGAAAATTCTATGGATAATTTAATACTGAATTTTAAATTAAATATGAAAGTGAACAATTAAGTCAGTAATTTTTTTCAGCTTGAAACCTGCTGCACAACCTCCCCTTGCAGAAGAATCTCGGACTCAGGGAGGAGAGTGACGAGAAGAGGTCCATGCTGCACAGGGCTCTCTAAGCATGAGCTACAGCAATAGTGGTTACTTTAAGTTCAGTCACTGAAAATAGAAAGGAAGGAAGTGCTTATTATTCCTCCATGCTGCTTACTCTAGAACTTTACGGGAGGGGATTCCCTGGGGTTTAGGAATGCCTCTCTGAGGAGGAAAGGCTGACAGTTCTCAACAAAACCCAAACTTCTCTGGGGATGGCTGCTGCTGACACTGCAGAGATTCCAAGTAAGCCATTTTCTCAGCAGAGATCAAAGTTACACTCTCTCAATGCTCTGTGACTTCTCTTAAGGAAACAAAGAAATGGCAGTCAGACTTCAGATGGTCCAATGCATGTGTAACAAGTAAACACAGAAAACAACTACTGGTACAGTTGAAGATCTCCAATCACTTATGACGCAATTCCCTCTTTTTCTTCTTTTTTCCAGGGTCCCCAGAAGTGCAAGTTGCACCACACACAACAAACAAAATTCCACTGCTGCCTTCAAGTGACCAGAGCAAACCCAAACACTTCTTCCAGCAGTGTTTGTCAATCTCAGTAATGTCCTATTAAGAAGAGCCTTTGCTAAAAACAAATCTAATTTAAATATTGTTTAAAGATTATTACAAAATATTACAAAGCTAAGAAAGCAACTACTACAGTGATGCAGGGAAGCCACGGATTAATACTGTAAGAACCTACCTAATATTTTAAAATCAGAAGTTGAAATCAGCACAATTACATAACCCCTGGAAAGCTCATATTTTCCTAAACACTTTTTTTTTTAGTCTGTGTTTTTAATACAGGGCTAAGCACACCCTACTGCAATACTACTAGCTTTACTCATGTTCTCTCTTTATAATTATCTAGGTCAACATAAGATCTTGCAGTGGGAACCTGAAAAGGAAAGGAATATGGTTCAAGCTGAATGGTTTCAACACACAATATTCGAAACCACATTATTTTCAGGAAAAAAAAGTACAGCACGGACCCCTGAATGTCCCAGCTCCTCCTCCCTGCAAGCACAGTTCCATTTAGTGTTGAACTCAGCAAGCTTGACTCATGACTTCCTGCTAATTCTGAGGATAACTATTAAAACCACTGCTCCCTCCTCCATTTAGCAAATTACTAAATCACCTTCTCTCATCCTATCTTAACACGCTCCCATCTCTTATTGTTTTACTCTGTCACCTGATTCTGGCTTTTCTTCTTTTCTACAGATAATTCTATTGGTTTTCTTCCTCAATTCCTCATTTCATCCAGACTGCTATTCAGGATGTAATGGAACAATTCCATTCCCTGTGAACAGGAATTTAAGTGGGTACAAAAGTATTAAGAAATGAAACCAGCTACATTCAGAATATTAAAATTATTAGCTGCAGGGACTTGTGTCATCAAGGAGAAAAAAAAAAAAAAGCAGTCCTTGCTTTCTGTAACAGCCAATTTCAGAAAAACCTTACTAACTTTTTTAGGTATTTAAGCAGAACTCCTCTTGTCTGCTGTAAGTCTTGTTCATGTTTGACAGTAACACAATATCAAAAAACAGAATGATAATAAATTACACATCAGCCTGGAAAAGGAAACAAGCAAAACT